TCTACGCTTATCGGAACGGATGACGGCAAAAACAACGGGATGCCTAATATGACAAAGAATGGGCCAAAGGTATTCAACCGTTCCCTAACACAGCTTTATTCCGTCGATTTGAAGTTGCAAGCGTACCTCCGGACTTACCACCGATGTCCGACTGCAGAATTCATGCAGCAGATGTTGATGGCCTCATCTTCAACTTAGACTGCACCCATTATTCGCGTAGACTTTGTTAATGCCTACTGGAAGGATTTTCAGCATTTATTAGAGGCATTTCCGGTTGCGAGATTTCTTCTTCTGCTGCTGCTTCTCTTTCCAGGTAGAAAAACGCTAGCGCCGCGCGAAGTTGCCTAGCGTTGTCGCGCTTTTCTGTCCCTGCGTTGCGCACACTCATAGATGTGCCCCCAGGCGACATGCGAGAGGTGTTCCTAGTCGGCGTCACCCCTGTGAGAAGGGGATACCATTCCCCCCTCTAGTCGGCCCACAGAGCCAACAAACTTTTCCCCCGTGCACTTACCCGCCCCCCTTAATGTCACGCGTGAGTGCACGTCCAACGTCTCCTAATCTATGCGCGCGCCCTTCGTCCCAAAGGCAGGACGCGTTCCGACGCGCAAGGCAGTTTATTGACTTGGAATGCCTGCGTCATGGCGCAGGCATCCCACGTTCGAAATCTGGGCCAATTTGGATCAAGTCTATGCAATCAAAGACTTGAAACCCTGTGACAAGTGCAAGTGGGGGGTTAATCATGTGCACGCAGAGTAGCGCGACGGTGCTAACGTTTTGCTTTCCGGATTCTAATTAGAAGAGGAGCAGCAACAGTTGATGTGGATGGATTCACATACACGTCTCTTCCAACAGAAGATGATAGACCTGTACAAGCTTTATTTCCTACAGCCTTGGCATGCGGCGATGTACGCCCAATGAGGACTTGTGCTTATGTTGAATACGCGTATTCAACATAACCACAATTGATATGTGACACTTAGGCTTATTAATGTGATCTCATTTACTCAACTCAACGCAGGAAATTGAATGAACAAATTATTATTAGAAATGAAAACAAGAAAAGGGTTTGCATACCGAGCTCGAGACACAATAATCCAAGTAATTATGCTTGGGTCGTATTTACACCGTTAAGCGGAAGATAGGACAAGCAGTAAAATGACCTTAAAATGAGTCGCTTAAACAAAAGTCGAATTTTCTGAACGAAAAAATAAGTCATTCAAATTATATAATAATATGTAAAAGTGCTACGCAATATAGTTCATAAACCTAGGTACTATGGACAAATGTTTAAAAAGATTCTGATTGCCTTCTAGGTCCGTCTGCAGCATTCAGAATTTTTAAGGTTAGGGAATATGCCTAAATCTTCCGCCCCAGATTATACAAAATGTGTGTGGGGCTAAAGTTGCTCCATACTAACTGTACGCCGATGTACTTGTATTAATATATAAATTACCGTATGCTCCCAATATTGATTTTCTTCGAGTTGTTCCTCGTCCAAACACGATTTAGACGGCGAAACCTGGCACATCGCTATGCAGAACGCCGTCGCAGAAGCGGTAGGTTCCCGTTGCCCGAGGACAGCATCCTTTAGCACGGCTACTCGGCGATCAATAGCATTTAGTCTGCTCTCCACCGAAGCCAAGTGGCGTTCAATGTTGGAAATGGCGGCTGAGAACGTGCGCTAATAGGAAGCCGCAATGCTTACTGACTAAGTAGTGCTGCCAATCAATAGTGAGCATTGCGATGTCCGCATGTTCCAACGTGGGCTGCAAAGGAGACGGTACTGTGTTATTATCGTCTGAAGTTGTTTTAATGGAACATGTGGAAACTACCTTCAACTGGGCCCTGACGCAGCGGACGAGATGGAGTTCCTAAATCATACTTCACTTCACCCTCCCTCTCACCAACAAGGTATCCATCCTCATTGGAATTGGAAATGATTGGGCGCCCACTGCCGTCGTAGTCCACTGGCCGTGGCCCAATTTCCATTGATATTGACTGCAACGGGACAGAAAAAATGCTATGAAAAGGAACAACTTCTCTAATGCGGCATAAACTAAAAGTCGGCAGCAGCATCAAGTATTGCCTCTGCTACTAAAATTAACTGAGATTCCTTGCATAATTTTGTCTTGAATGAAATACTTTGGGAGAACCGAAACCTAAGTTGTTCTTTTGCCTTCCATGATTCAGGCTCATCTAACCTACGCGTTTGCTGAGTGAACTAACTCGAGAAAGTGCTGTCACAGGACAATAATGCTTCTATGATAGGGGGTGAAAGGCTGTTTTCACAGGGCGACGGACGCCTCAACCATAATTGCAACAGCTTCCTCACTACACTTAGATATACGGGGTATATGGAATCCCGAATAAATGAAAAGGTTCGAGTTTATATGGAATCCAAACGAAAACGAATAATAAGACCGACATTGCAAGAAAGGACGGGAGATGTGCCGACGCGGTGATCTGCGCGGATTCCTTACCAGTCTCTTAATGCTTCCTAAATAACCTTAGAAAGGAATATCTGAGGATATGTCCAGGTGTCCACGCGTGAAAACATCTTAAGACAGCTGTATAATGCCGTGAGCGTTATACACGATGCACTCTTCCCTGCTTTTCTGTCGAAAACCCGTGATTAAAGATCGTCAACAAATTTATATAGTGCCTGATCGTAGACTCTGAGTGTCCCGCAGTAGCTAGTATTCTCTCTGATACTTGTAGTAGTGGGGCTGTAGAAAGCCGGGAAGTTAGATGCAAAAGTATTCAGCAACTGACAAGCATAGACGGCAAGCCTAAAGTATAACTATGATTGACAGAAACTGTAAATAGAAGAAGAAAATAGCAAAAAATGATCATACTCATTCGTATTAAATTGAAAATAGGCATCCCAACAAATATA